GAGGCTAAATGCATTCATATATAATTTCTAACTAAATCCCTAGAACACTTCTTAAATAATGAAGTATGGTAACCATAGCCCAGTCCTTGGAGATCTTTGCTTGTACTAAACACAATCATAATAAAACCCTGCTTAAGCTTCTCCAAGTTCTAGATCCTCTTTTTTTATCAGTTTCAAAAAAATATTGATTGGCTTGATGCCCTGTCAACAGCATCATCCCTTGACTCCTTAAGAATCTTTTTTAGGGTTGTTAGTGCATTCTTTATGTTTTTGTTTGATTGACATAGAACCTGCATTGTTATTTTACTTTTCTCAGCCTTTGCATTAGAGCAGCATTTACAGCACAATCGTTCACACCTTTGCTATTCCCTGAGGTCTGCTTTTAAACTTCAGACTGTCCACCCCCACCCCCAAAGACAGCCACACAACTGTAGTTCGTAAAATAAACTTGAGAAACAGAATTCTCAAAGAAAATTGATTCCAGCAATGGTTGCACATCAACTACAACAGCTAAAAATGACATACTAAGACAAATTTTGGTTTGATGAAAAAGATAGATACACTTGCTTTGATGGCTATTCCTGTAGGGACTGAGTTTGTGCTGGGAATTATCTGTACAAGCTTAACAATTTATTCTCCCACTAAATCACTTACTGAGATGTCACTGTCACTAAATGTGTCTCAGGACTAATCAGGTTCTGGGTTTATACTGACTGACTGGAACGTGCCAGTTTTTAGTCTGACACTTAATGTCTGACATTGCCCTAGTCTGCAGAAGTGCTTAATGTCTTCTTGCTATGACGCTTCTCTGATGACATGAACCTCAGTGAAGACAGAAACCAATGTGTCTCAAAAAGACAAAAAAGCCATTCACATATTATTATTATGGTTACATAGGTTTTGCAGAAAGGAAGAACCTAAATACCAATTAGAGCAGGAAACTGTTCCCACCTGGCTCTTTTCTGCATGTACAAAGATATAGACGAGACAGCATGTGTCCTAATAATTTACAACCTGCCAACAGAGAACAGATGGATGAGACAAACATGTTGAATTATTATATATGTTTTCTGTTTCAAAGAAATCTTAAACTGCTAATAGGAGTCAAAAGGCTGAATTTATACTAACCTATATATATATATATATATATATATATATATATATATATATAAAAACAATAAAGGCATAAAAGAGAAGCTCACTAACCACTGTTTTTTCCTCAAAATTGAACAAACAATTTTGCCTAATACATATCACATTGGCACTAGTATTGTTAGGCTGAATATGAAAGGCTTGATTCAACTCTACTTGAAAATCTTAAGGAATCATATTTTAGGAAAATATAAATGAATTAGTTCTTCAGTGTCTCAAAATCATGCTGTGCTCTCTTGTGTGGAACTTTGAATCACTATAGCTGGAAAAATGCGTAACTGTTGCTTTGCAAATATTTCTCAACTAATACTTCCCAAAGGTATTTGCTGAGGTGTGTATGTAATCAAATATTAAAAAGGGCCAAGCCTGAGAGTTTGGCAGACGTTCTGTTTCAAGCAGATGCAACACTCACAAAGATTGCCCCAAGATGATGTACAGCACTATCTCATGCATTGTCACTGGAGCTGAAACAACCTCCAGGCCTCTGAAGATCACCCCAACAAGGGACAGAGACTTATGGCCTCTTCTGGGAAAAAGAAACTAAAAGGTGGAAGCCCACAACAGTTAAAATTCCACATGAATTTCCACTCAAGTGATGGAAGCAATCCTGTTTGGCACACTGAGAACAGAATCAAAGACCTCCAGTTTGTTAAATGGCATTTGTAAGTATCTGTGGGGGGTACCTTTCTTTTGGCTCATGTGCTCTCAGCACAGAAAGGGATATCCAGTCACATTGACCAAAACGTTGCACAGATAGTCCTTATAGTAAATAATCTTTCCTGAGATCAGCAAGTGTTGCAGACTTGGGACATAGCCTTATTGCTTGGTGAATTATGAGTAAAATCAAACATGCAATAATCCCACATATGCTGTTTAACCTTGTTGCAGAGATTAAAAAATGAGGAGTAACAGGATAAAGTTTTATCCTTTTAAAATACCATCCTTTAAATAAAGATTTCTAAGTCTGTCTTATCAAGTCTTCTGTGTTATTTTATTCTTGCCTTTCCTTTGTGCTTTTAACTTCTTAAAGGAAACATAGTGCAGTGGTGGTCAAGAAGTTTGTGTCATTTCCTGTGAAGACTGAGGCCCTTCTCCCTCCTCTGGACAATCGATATTTACAGGCCATGACTTCAATTGGGTGGCAGCTTCTGAATGAAAACACAGGAAAGCTTGTACCAGGTAAAACCAAACTCCACTCTGTAGTCCATTTTTCAATAGGAGAAACCCTATATAGCAGTTGAAGTCTAAGAAAAAGGATAAAAGCAGGCCCAGAATATAGGAAAGATTTCCACGAATATTGGTCAGGAACATTCAGAGGTGATGCTTTTTATTTGATGACTATAGATCTTCTCCCAGTATTTTCTTTTTCCAATCATGTATTTTAAACTCTTTTGAACTTTTAATATTTCCAGAGTTCCAGACTAAAGACATTCTTATTTTCGCATCATCTTGTGCTGGAAAGTGAAAGATAGTCAACAATCATTCCCTGCCCTACACCACTCATTATTTTAATGGACTATATGTTCCTTCCTTATTTCTTGCTTCGTTTGTTTTATAGAAAATGTTTTTCTTGCCCTTTTCTTCTTGACTTCCTCCTTCTCTTTACCCTGCTATTGTATTCTCTTTGTAATGGAGTTACAATTCCTGTTTTCTTTTCTATTGTTTTCTAATGTTTGATTTGCTTTTCTGACTTTTTGAACAGGAAGCGGATTAAATAACAAGGTAAATTCTAAGCTTCTCTAATATGAGCTCTCTCTCACAGTTGCATATGCACTGAAATGTTTGCAGGTTCAATCATAGACCAGATTTTTTCAAATGCTGTTAATCAGAAATTTAAATACAAGTTTGCAAAACCAGGAAAAAAAACAGTTCATAAGAATATTTTTTTAGAAATAAAATGTATATTCTGTTCTCGTAAGTTATTTAAGACAGATTCTTGGACTAATATTATAGCAAGTTACTCTAATAATTTTACAGAAAGTTACATTCTAAAAGCAATGTTTCAATTCCATTTCTAAGGAAAAGGGAAAAATTCTGCTCCTTTTGCCCATGTGAGTGCATAATCTGCACTCACTAACACTGACTTAAATCCAGGGTAACATCATTGACTTAACTGGATCAGATACAGCTTTGGAGCTATATAGCACATGGACAAAATTCTTTCAGGAAAACTTTTTATGTGACAAAATCAAAAATTGTTAACTACTTTAAAATAAAACCGCTTGTTAGAACAGTGGATGTATTCTCCCTTATGCAGTCATTGCTAAGGACATGGCATTTGACCCTGAAATTACTTACGGTATGAAACAAAGCCCAGAAAAATCAGGGAGAAATCTTCAATTTGGCTCTGTATTTGTAAATTCATTCTTCTTTTCAGATATGTATGTTCAGATCTATTTGACATCAATGTGCTAAAGCTTACTGTCATTTTTACCAATTGGTTTTGACTAATTCAGTTGATGCAATCTGAATTTTTCCACACATATCTAAAATCAGAATTTGGCAGAGCATCAACAATGTATCTTTAGAGATAAGACATTTGCATAACTTTCTTCATACAATGTACTGCTGAATAAATATTTTATCTAAGATCAGGATCAAGTTGTTCCATCATCACTTCCATACAGGAATGGAGGACTATTTGACTGCAGTACCCAATATTTGCTTAGCATATTCTGTGTGAAGGCCATGTGTTTGTGGCAAGTTTAAAGCATGGTGGAACAGTCACCTTACACAACTACACAACAGTCATGTAAAGTTCATTTTCAGTTGCCATAGGTAGCGCTTCTAGTTCGGTAAAGAAGTTGTACTTACTGGCACTGGTCTTCATGGCTACTGTGCAGCCAGTGCTCTTGAGAGCAATTCCTCATTCCTAAGAATGAATCACTCGGAAACTGCGTGGTAAATAGCTTTCATTTCTACCCAACAGGAAAATTGTCATTTGAAATATCAACATTAGCCACTCCAAGGAGAAGTCATCAGAACTGAGCCATTAGATAAAAAATAAGTACTCACAAAATATACAACTTAACATCAGCACAGGAGTCTTTGGGCAAATTTGCTCTTGCTTTGAATGGTGTCATTTAGGTTATATGCCACCCTAGATAAATCTTTAATCTTACGGCAAACATGCACAACAATAGGAGTTGCTCTAAGGCCTGAAGATGGGTAGCAGAAGAAGCTATGGTTGGGAAGATTACACTATCTCAGTGCTGCAGTATTTCTTGAAACATGAAAGTAAATCCTGTTTAAAGAATAAATAACAGTAGCGTATTCATGTATGACCACTTGCTGCATATTTTGATGTGTTCACAGTTCTGTGAAATATCAGTGCAAACAGCTGGTTATTTTTTTTGTTCTTGAGACCTGAAATCATTCACTTGTGTGTATCTTGAACCTAGGGCACTAGCTGCAGCAGTTGTAATGCAGTATGCACTCTTACACGCATACATCTTGTTCCCTTAAATAACTTACCAATCAATAGCAAATTATAATATACAAATATCCAGTATAAGGCATTTGGCTGACAAAACAGACATCTGGATTTTATATTAATTTTGACAGAGTGTGCTTTGCAAATGTTCTCTTTATGTGAAAATGGAAAAGCAAATGTAAGGCAAATCCTTAAAATAATTTATGCTACACTTGAAGCCACAGAGATATGGTCTAATTCAGGGTTTATGTGAACAAGGCGTTGGTTTTAACTCCTCTTGGAGTCCCACCTAAGAGGCCCATGGGAAAATGAACTTGAGATGGCTCAAGGAGCTTGCTTGTGCCAGTGAGGCAAGAGGAACTTGTGTTGGTGCTGAAAGGAGGTGGGGCCCACGAAGTAAGAGAACTGAGAATGATTATATTGGCAGAGAGTTCTGTTTATTCAGTGTTTGCCACCAACAGGACTACCGTGTTCTTGTTAAAGTTTCTCTGCATGATAGGTAGCAATGATGAGGATATGGAGGCTCAAGTATGGCTTTTGGGGGCAGATTTCAAGTTGCAATTGCTTCTCAGTGATTCAGATGATGGGCATTGGTGTTGAGCACATAACCCATAGATCAAACTAGAGGTTTCTCTCCAACTTTCGTACTCTCGGTCTTCCCCAAATGGGCCACAAACTACAAGGAGAAAAAGAGAAGGGATTAAGAAAGTACCTCACTCAGTAACTATTCCATCTTTCTTTTTCTCTCACAAGCTGTATTTCAGCAGTTTCATGTTTCTTTACTTCCTGAAGACCATCTGTTGGGCTTTCAGCTGCAATGTTCTTGGTCACTCATGTTCCCCACTCCTCAGCATTGCTTGGTTTCCCCGCTCCTGCCAGATCCACTCCCCACTACCCTGACATCAAATCCTAAATTTTATAGCCATGTCTACACTAGTAAATAAAATGGACTAGGACACATCCAGTGTGTCCCGAAAGAGTAAGGGCAAGAAGTCAATAATCTGCACAGAAGACATAAGTCCCCTTTAGACCAAAAGAGCCTCAGCTGGTAAGATATTTAGGGAAAGTGTTCATATTCCTTTGATCCAGTGTCACTCTATCTGTTGCATGGCCTCTGAAGGCATTTATGCCTATTTTCCCAGTGGTTTCAGTATATTTTCATGATAGTTGTTCACAAATAGAGCAACTGAGGAATCTTTTGAACAATATGAACAAACAGGACCTCAGAATACTTAAATCATGCTTGGTTTGTTATTCTGAAATGCCTTTACTGACATTTATGGGGAAATAAGTTTTCTTTTTCAAGAGCGTTCTGTAACATCCTGGTAGCTTCAGCTGAACATTTTCCAGGACTCACAAAAAATTCAGGCTGGGTCAAAATAATAAAGTTAATATTTCATGCAGTATATTTTAGAAAATTAAATAGGATGGATCAGCAAAAAATGCAGAATTATAAAGCTGGTTAATATCATTTTTAAACATTATAAATTAAGCTGAGAATCAAACACCATATAAAAGCCGTGTCAGACACTGTAGTATCTTCTGGATTTATTGTCACAAGAGAAAGCTGTGGCTGACATGTGTGTAATATCATTCAATTAAAGATCATTGAATCACACATTCACTGAATATGTGTTTTTGAATGCTACTAAAAAAATGCCCCAAACCTTAAGGATGATTTCCAGAAGTTCCTTCCAACCCTAACAACTCTGTGATTTTGTGAATATTGATTTTTACTTCTATTTAATTTCTGCTAAAATTAAAAAGAAAAAAAAATAGAAAATTATATCTAAACAATGCTGTATTTTCCACTATGTGAGTTCAGCCAAACCTGATTTACTGAAGACTGTTTTGATTCACAATTTTAAGTAATTTTAAAAGTTTTGATTCTGTTACCAGTGTTTCTGCTAAGTCATATTTTATTCCATGCACATTCCATTGTCTTGTGAAAGAAAAAGAACAAGAATAGAAAAACTTTCACTTGTTCAGCTGTCTGATGCCTTACATGAATTCTGATCATTTTGATCATTGGAGTATCCCCCTCATCATTCACCCTGGACTCATTATGACAACTTACCATAACTTCAAGGCAACTTATTCTGACAACTTAAAGGGTTTGACTCATTGGCAGATTGGCATTCTGCTGGCATCTTCACAGTGAGACACAACTGACTAGAATTTTGAAAAATCTCTATTTTCAACACTAGAGTGTGTCTATACGTACAAAGTAGTACCACAGGAGGTGAACATAACTGACCAAGTAATGTAGCTGTGGTAATTTCAAGACTCCAAGTAATTTGGTCAGGCCCATCTCTGCAGATATGCACTGCTGTAGATATGGTGATATTGCTCTCTCTAGCTGTCAGCTCTACAAAGTGCCAAGCATTAGTAAGAATTCAATAATGAAATTATAACTATGAATATTAACGCAATCTGAATAGATTGCTTGCATTTATTCTTTGAGAACAAGACAGAAAACCAAAAAGCTCTGCTATTGATTCAGTGGATGCAGATTAATAATGCTGGCATTTAGTTTTTCTTCAGTGAAAAGTTTCTTGTTATAAAGATGTAATTGGAAGGATAGAAATCATTGCTTAATTTGAGGTTAATTCTGGGAGAAGAAATTCAGCCAAAAAAGGGGAAAATTCAGAAAACTTCACGTTAGTATTTGGGAAAATATTTAAGTTTTTAATTTTCAAGCATTTGCTTTTTGAAAATGACAACTGTTTAAAAATTACATTCCAAATATAAAACACCAAAAGTTTTCATATTCAGCTCAAACAAATTATTTTCTATCCTATAAAATATATTTTAGGCTTTGTTTGTTTTGTTTTGTTTCATGTTTTGTTTTATGTTTTGTTTTGTTTCACCAAAGAAACAAACAAACAAAACATTTTTTTTGGTGTTTTTTTTTAATTTCTCTTAAATATTTCTCTTACGTAGATTAAAAAATCCCCAAACAAACAAACCTCTAATGCATTACTTCCAGACTAATATATCTAGTAATTGCAAACATGCATGTTTATATGTAAGTCCATGCTGTGTCTCAAACACAAGTTCTTGTTAAGTTGCCAGTGGTACTATTTCTGACAGAGAAATTTGCTCTCTATCACTGGCCTAATTCTGCAAGAGAGTAAGTTACCTTCATATGTGATGACAGCATTGATTCACTTGAGAAGTGTTCACATAGGCGCCAAACATTGCCCCCGAATGTGGTAAATTGCTGAATGACAAAAATCTGGGGATGCAGACCTCAAATTTGGTTTGCTGTTTCCCAGTGAATATTTAGCAGGGGAAGAGTGCATCCAATTGCTCCTATTTCAAGACTTTATAAAAGATTTTTCGGTCCATGTACTCTGGTTTAAAGAAATTACTCTCTCCAAGAATGATCTCTGAGGGCTCTATTAAACAACAAACAGTTCCTAACCTCTCTGAACAGAAGCCAAGGAAAAGCCACAACTGATACAGAGACTGGCTCTGTACACAGACGGCTGATTTGGCAAGACAACAACCAACAGACTAAAGAAGGTCTCTTTTGGTTTGCATTTCCTTTAAATCTCTTAGCACTGAACTTGTAAGAGTTGTAGGCAGGCTGGTGTAAGTAAAAACATTTAAAATGATCTCTTTCTTGCCATGAAGCCACTGGATAAACTGGGCTAATTGTTTGAATTGGTTGAGGCAGCCACTAATTTGGTGACAAAAGCTTTTTAATCCAATGTCACAACATCTCTTTGTTACACGTGTTGAAATGAAAGTGGCCTCAAAAAGGACACTATAATTATTTGTATATTTTAAGCCTTCTTTTTTTTTTTTTTTTCCCATACAGGGATCTTCCTTTAACTGGAAGGCATATGGGCCATGATGTTCCTTGTGTTTATTTTTTCCCCGTGGTTGTTTTTCCTGTGTACATCCTTAAACAGCTTTCTGGCTGACCTGTATGCCTGTTGGCTGATATCAGCTGAGAGAGTTGAAGTGTCTTGAGAATACCCTCAGCATTAGAACCAAGATGTTCAGCTGACACAAGAGCCAAATAATTTTTTTGGACTCTCGAGTTATATGGGTAAATTTAGAAGAATCTACTTGTACCTTTACCAGAAATGCAGAAAAAGTTTATCAAGAGTAAAGTGTCACTAGAAAAGTTCACATATATTTTAAATTCAATTATATAATTATCATGATGATTATATTATATATATGGCTATTATATATATATAATCTCCAGATTTTTGTGTACTGATTTCTTTCCAGCATAAACTGTAATGGAGTAAATAGTAAACCAGTATGTCACCTACCATGCTAAATTCAACACAAGCAAAAACTGACACTGACTAAGCAGAAAGTCCAAGTATTCTGGAAATCTTTCCAGTTCTGAAAGGCTTTCTAAGATTTACAAAAATTCGTTAATACTGAGAGCCTCAAAAAATTCCCATATTTAGAAACAATGCAATGCAGTAGCTTAAAGTAACCTGGAACCTAGAGACAATCACCAGGAACATTATCTTGGGGAACTGGGTCAGCATGATGCTGGAGTTCTTGCAGCTCCATTGACATTACTGGAGTTACATTAATATAAAAGGACAGTTTAGACCTGGGGTCTGGCTTTACATCAAAAATTGATTTGTTTAAAGACTTTGCATTCATTTAAATGTAAAAACAATTGTAGTCAGTCCCAATACCGATATGCTTCAATAGCTGTTGTATATAAAACTGGATGCAGATTACTTGGCTTAACATGCATCTCCTGGTTTGCCATTTTTGAAAGAAGTCATACGTTGGTAAGTTTAAGACAGTATCTAATAAATGTCACACGAAGACTATTCTAGTCCTCAGTGCCTTGCAAATGAGGTTATTTTTACTCCACTAAAAAAAATGGAGGCATTTTCTTCATGTTGTTATGTAGTGTAGAAAATCAGTCTTTACCAAGACTGTGGCTCTCAAAGGCTGCTTGGCCCTACAGGAGGACACATGACCATAGAAAGTTACTTCAGTAAAAAAAAAAAGAAAGACTGATTCTGAGAGATATTTTAAGATCAATTAAAAAGATTCCTAAAATGACAAACATTTATTTTGTTTCTCTCCCTGCCAGACTATGACTGTACCAGAAAAGACCCAATTCAGTTGCCTAAACAAAGGCTCCTGGTGCCTCTTGAGATGTCCTAAGGTAGGACAAAGTGTCACTGGTGGACAGCACACAGGCCCTACAGGAGACCTGTGTTGTTCTGGAGCAGCAGCTGGAGGCTAGGTGGTCTTTGTGACAGCCTCAATACAGGCAGCTGAAAGGAGGCTGAATACCAACATTTCTATTAGTAGTAGGGCATCAGAGAATAGAAATGCTGTATATAATGAACATGTTCTGTGGATATCTCTAGCTCTGAAATGAAGGTTGCAACTCATCCTAGCATTAGGACTTCAGTTGAAGTTGAAAATAAGTTTAGGGAAATATGGAAATTTCAACATGACAAAGGTGGAAGTCCACAGTTCTGGTAAATTATTTTATTAAATAAAAAAAAAAAGATGGATATAAACATCTCTAACACAGTAAACTCTTGGGAACAAGTTTTAGAAACAAATCAGTAGGATTCTAAAGGGATAATTGAGTATTGTAAGGTTTCTTTGGTTTTGTGTGACCTACTTTGTAGACAATTAGCTGACAAAGTGCTGAGAAATATTGTAAAT